TTTTAAATCTTGGAAGTAATCTTGGTGCGTAACTAATACATTCGTTTCCTCATGCTCGGTAAACTCCAACCTCATTTGAGACGATGTCTAGTACATCTGCATTGGGTATCCTATTCAAACTTGTGAAATAAATTTTAAATTTCAATTCAGAAAGCTCCGACATTGTACCAAACTGTCAGCAATTTTTGTCTCTAAGGAATGTCTGTCCCACACACATAGCATTACGAAAATATGGAATGGTCAGTTGGTTTACAATTTAGTATTATTTGTTAATTAGTATATCAACAATTATCTGCCCATCACCATTTATTGCATTGTCAGGTGGGTTGAGAAATGTTAATCCACTATTTTATTATTAACATCTAACTGATCATATAATAAATATTTTGTTTCAACAAAAATTAAAATAGAATGTTTGAAAGTACTTTCCAAGCTAATGAAACAAAGTTGTGAAAATTATAATCAAGTTTTATTAAAAGCAGTTTTACTTCCTAGTCAAGTATTTTTTACTTAACTGAAGGGTTCGACGTCATGTTAAGAGTAGAACTTCGAGTTCAGTGAACAAGATTACACAAGAGCTCATTATTTTTCTACCTGTTATCCACGTGTTAAATTGATTCGAAACTTTTTTCGGAAAATAGATCTCCTACATCACAAATAGACTATAGAGTATCGTTAAGAATAAATTAATTATAATTATCTAAGACTCACATATAGAGCAGCTACTTACGTCTTTCAAAAGTAACATATGATGTACTTCGTTATGAAATATTTGATTAATATCTATTACATCGTTTTTAACTATTGACATACAGATCATTTAGATAACCAAATTGCAGATTCAACTTTTCGGAGGGTATAATAAGCTTATAAATGTCTTCCAACTTGTCAGTAAGTTGACTTTGATACTGAAGTGAACATCTAGTTTGGAATGATGAAGTCCTATTTTTTAGTAACTTTTATCATACCTACTTTGGTAAACATTGGTAAGATACATTAAATTAGCCGAATTTTCATGTGCTTTATGTCAAGAATTTATTAAAAGTTATGCATTTGTTTAAACATTTTACAAAAATTGTTACTTAAACTTTATTAAAGTTCGGAAAATGAGAGGTCTTACGGTTTTTTGCGCAAAATTAGAAAGATGGTCAGACTTTTTTATTATGTAGAAATAAAATCAGTTACATTTATAGTTGACAAGTATTACCTAATATTCAATTATTTTTTTGCAAAAAAGATAATTGTATTTGAAAATGAAAAATCTTTGTTTGACGCTTGAAAAATGGATTTTTACTTCTTAATACATAATCGAGTGACTACTTCGCTGAGTCATTACTCTACTCCCACGTTTTATTCTGGAGTTGTTCACATAGATTAAGAATGTTTGTAAATGATGAATTGCACAATCAGTAGTACAAAAAATTTATTTATTTGTTTATTTTATTTTGTTTTTTTCTTCGTTTTGTCTTAGATGATGCATTTTTATCTTATAAGTCAGTTGAATTTAAAGGGGAGGTTAATGAATCGGCTTATGAAAATTTGGAATTAGGTTTTTAAGCAGCTTTATTTTCGGGTTATCTTTTACTTTTATTTCCGTAGTTCTATAAGTTCTTTTTCACCATAAATTATTTTTAAAAGTTTTTGAAAATGAAATTATTCTACTTATACTGCAATTTTTCTCTATTTTTCACTAAATAAAAATAATAAACTTTTTTTTTACATTTTTCGCAATGACTGATAATCAAAGGAATTTTTACTATAACTAGACACTAGTGTCGAAAAAATATGTCATGTGCATAATTTTATAGATCACTTTCTGTAATTCCAAATGGATATTTAATTGTCAACAGATGATACAAGTCGATTGAATGTTGATTTTTTTTATATTGAATAAAATTAGTACTTATTTGTTTAAATTAGGGTTTCCAAGCATGTCTGTTCGTGCAAGTATCAGATCAAAGCGCATGATTGGCGGACACAAAACAACAATCAAAGAGCACCCCTATCAAGTAGCAATTGCGGACGAAAATCTCGGTTACCGATGCGGTGGAGCTATAATTTCGAAAAATTATGTTTTAACAGCTGCTCACTGTATATACAAGAAAGCTTCCGGCTACACAGTTAGATCGGGATCTTCATTCAAAGACGAGGGTGGCATCTTGCACTATATGGTCAACGTGACGGTGCACAAGTTGTACAGTGAAAACAAGTATTTTAACACGGACTTTGACATTGCTGTAGTCCGCGTGAGCCCACCCTTCAAATACGATGACACTTGCCAGCCTATCCCTTTGAACGATCATATCGAACGTGACAAACCCGTTGATAAATTTATCATGGCTGGCTGGGGTGCTCTGAATCACATGAGACATATCCCAAAACAATTGCATTCCATGGAAATTCGTGGGATCGCTAAAAAAACGTGCGACGAATCTTACGCAAAGTTCGGTGGTATACGCGATGGTCAGATATGCGTAGGACATTTTGGACAGCGCGATAGAGATATCTGCTGGGGAGATTCTGGGTCTCCGTTAGTTTCAAGAGGCAAAGTGTTTGGAATCGCCGCTTACACCGAGGGGGATTGCGGACTTCACGACTATCCGACGGTTTTTACGGAAGTGGCCTACTTCCTCGATTGGATAAAAGAACGTGTCGAGTTCGACCCTTAATATGGTTACATTTTTTTGATAGCTATTTTTCGTGTGAAATCAAGGATTTTTCAATAATAATGTAATATGTCTTCCCGTAATAATTGACGTACCGTATTTTTTTTTAATTTATCAACCCTCTTTGTGATACAAAATAGTCTTGGTATTGGATGATTAAATGCTTTCTGTGAAAAAAGATGTTTTTATCATATGACTTTGGTTAATTTATACATCCTATATTTTGTTTATTAACAATGTTTTTCTGCGTTTTTTAATAGAATGTTGATTCGAAAAGTCTTTTTTTTTATGTTTTTGACTGAGTATTTTATGAATGTATTTTTTCTTTGCGTACGTCGAGAAATGTTGTTGATATTTTTAATAATTTATTTGGCCACAAAGGGTTGTATGTGCAATGTTAGGACTCGACCGTTTATTTAATTCATTTAAAAAAAATTTTATGAAGTCACTGATAATGTCATAGTGAATTGCTGAAATATCGGACAAATGGAATACTTTTTAATAATAAATAGTCGTGTCAACCATATTGTCAATCATTTTTATATTTAATTCATATAAGGAATATATGACTTGACAAATGAACCTATGTAAATCAGATTGTAAGTTAAATTCAATAATTATAAAAATCAATCATAAGTTGAGGTAAAAAAAATTAAAAAATAAATTCTAAAAATATACAGAGTTTCCCTTCTCTACGGATTAGGTTTAATAACTGAAAAAATTCTTATGTATTACTTATAAACTTAGAGATTACTTGGGGTTAGCGTGCCAGCAGACTAACTAAAGAAACTCGAGGGAACGTGGGTTAAATCCCAACGTAATGTTTTTCTTCGAGTTTCTTGACAATTAGTATACCTAAAATACCGAAAAATTACATATCTAATTTTTAAAATGATCAGTAGATTTTTACGAGTGATGTCTGGACCTCCAGAGGCTTCCGTGTCCCAGATAATATTGTATCATAATATACTGGTTATAATTGTAAAATTTATATTAATGTTATAAATAATTACAACCATTTAAATTTTGCGAGGGTGAAAATTCGACGAATTTCAGTAAATTTAGTTATGTTTATTTATTTTTTCTTTCTATAAATCTTTAATAGCCTACTGGTCTGGTAGAAAATTTTTCGAAAAAATCCGCGTATTTTCTATGTTACAAAAGGGTTAGATAACACTATACTGAATACATAACACTAAACTGTCTTAAAATAACAAACACAGCATTGGCTTACATCTTTAAAAAATAGCATACTATGTACTTTGTAATTAAATATTTTATTAATTGTGCTATTTTACCGTTTTCAATCATTGATGCACTAAATGAATTAATATCCGAATTACCGATCCGACTATCGAATATAATGAGCTTGCGAATGTCTTCCGACTTATCCGTATGTTATCTTTGACATTGAAATAAAATTTACATTTAAAATCATGAAGTTTCATGTTTACCAATATTCGTTATAGCTTCTTTTCATACATTTGGTTTAAAGAATTAATTAATAAATTATAATTATCACCAACTCCAATAAACGTTCCATAACTATTAGAATATGTTATCAGGCTATAATATGTTACAATTGTGTAGCACTACTAGATAGATAAGCGTCAAAAAGATGATTTGTAAATGTTGACACTACTTAGACAATCTGGAAAATCCTTGACATTTTATTTATGTGTCACTAAACTGTTGCATAATTGTGACTTGGCATAGAGGTAGTTGTTCAGGTCACCTGTCAATTCTTATATCGCGAAATTATAAAATTGATTTTTCTCAATAATATGAGTTACTTCCTCAAAATATCTTGTATTTAAGTACTTAAATTTTATTGAAAATTTACTTCAATCCAATTTTAAGATACAACTAAAACTGCTAAAGTTAGTAAAAAGCTAATGGTTTCCATTTCACAAGTCATTTAACGCAAACGAAATTCACAACTTGTAATCTAACAATTGGGTTGGTTTGTATAAAGCCACCCTTGAACTACTTGCAAACCTATTGCTTTAAGTTTGTATGTATAACAATCCAATAAATCACAAACTTTTTGTTTCTTGTTGGAATTAGGTGAATTATGAAAACATTGAAATCTTAGTTAACGACTTTACATGTACGAAGGTTTGTAGGCTGTCCGATTTTAAAATACTAACTTAAAAAAATGTTTGTGTTCTAAAGGTACTAGGCAAGTGTTTTTTCATTTCTGTCAAGTGAAACAATTAAAATTTTTTATGCCACAAGACGCTTATCGGAAGAACAGGAAAATACCGCCAAGATAAGGTTAACAAACTTACCTCAATCCATTTACTAAAAAGAGCTCACTAGAAAATATAAAAATAAGTAAGTTGGACTATTTTTCAACTTTGTCTCTGCTAGTGAGTAGGTTTTTATTCAAGAGTGATTTTGCGGTTTCTTCAATTAAACCTATAACATAATAATTAACTGATATAAACCTGTCTGTTTGTTTATAATGTTAATATGCGTATTCGCTGTAATATTTTTATTAAGTGACGTAGGTAAGTGGAAGGCAACTCAAAATCATTATTATAATTTAAAAAGAAGTCTTTTTTTTTAACATTTAATTTTTTTACTTTCATAGCAAAATGTAAGTGCTGCTGAAACGCCCGTACTTGAAATATTTGAAACATTCGACAAAAATACATCTTTTATTGTACTTCCGTTTTTGAGAACTACTGCTTCAAAGAAGTGCCTTTTTTTTTTTGTAAAACTGACACATAGTCCTTTGGCAATATATTTCAAACTATCCAAAAACACGATTTCGTACTGTCTAATCATGAAATTGGCTTTTACTAATACATTTTAAAAAATCCTACTTCTTCACGGTAATAGTAATGTTAAATAAAAAAAAAAAAAAAAATAAAAAAAAACAAGTAAACGCATGCAATCACATTATAGAATAAATCTCATTTTCTATCCAGCGCCTCCATACACAGCTGCCGGTGAAAATATCAGACCGAAGAGAATGATCGGTGGGCGGGATACCACAATCGAAGAGCACCCCTACCAAGTGGCAGTTGAATACGACAATTACGAATACAAATGCAGCGGTGCTATACTCTCGAAATACTACGTGCTAACGGCTGCTCACTGCATAAACGTTACGGCCAATGAGACGAAAATTCGTTCTGGATCCTCCCTGAGAAGTGAGGGTGGCATCTTGCACGATGTGACCGACGTGAAGGTGCACAAGTTGTATAGCTTAAACAAATATTCCAACTCGGACTACGACATCGGTGTAGTTCGTGTGGATCCACCGTTTAGTTACGATGAGACTCGCCAGCCTATTCCGCTGTATGAGGATGCCGTGTCCAGCAACTTCACGACCGATGAAAAACTCGTCATTTCTGGGTGGGGTTCTATGGACCATGACGAAAATCTGTCGGACCAATTGCAGACGATGGACGTTCCTTGGATCAGTAAAAAATTGTGCAACGAATCTTACGCAAAGTTCGATGGTATACGCGATGGTCAGATATGTACGGGGTACTTGGGAGAACGAGACAAGGATATATGTAGTGGAGATTCTGGAGCCCCGTTGATTTTTCAAGGTAAAGTTATTGGCGTCGCTGCTTACACCGAGGGGAGATGCGGACGTCTCGACTATCCGGCGGTTTACACGGAAGTGGCCTACTTTCTCGATTGGATAAAGGAACACGTGGAGTTCGACGACTGACAAAGTCCAGCTGGCGTCCATTATGTCACTCAAATCCTTTAGGGTGACTGTGGACTGTATTACTGGGACTGAATGTTGTGTTGAAGAATTTTCACAAACAGCATGGTCACATATGTATTTGCGAATACGTTTAAAATAGAAATCCAAAACAATGTATGGAAATAATGTTCTACGACTAGTAAATAGTTCTATCTACGATAGAGTATTCCTTCCCAGTCCAGAATTTTGTATAATTTCTGCATTTAATTTTGTTTCAAACCAAGTCTTTTGTAAGTATAATTTACGCTCTCACTAAAGGACGTTAAGAAAGATCTATTTTACCGCAACAGTTGTTTCCAAATAAAAATTTGCTGACTTCTCATAACAATTTTTATTGCAAATAACATGATAATTACTATAATGATCAATGAAAAACTAAATTATCTAACAATGGCGTTTCTCACGTTAAATTATAAATCATCTTTACAAGTACAAAATGATAAAACTTTTTCATAGTACAAAATATAATCATCAAAAAAATCTTTATTCAATATATGGTTGATTTAAAGCTAGGTTGATTAAACACGTTAAAAAGTAATTTGATGATGTTTAATTAGAAACAAAATTTCACTACCTTATATAGAAAATTTCCTCATGCATTTTGTTGTCATCAATGAATGAATATCTTTCTTTGAAGTATCAAAGTTGATTAAACCAAAAAATTCACCTCAACGCTACTTTGACAAAAAGTTCTCGTTAGGATCTATTATTTTGCGCAAAAAATTTTCGAACCATCGCTCAGTCTATTTCTACGTAATTTTTAATCCAAGGAAGGAAGTACGCAACCTCCGTAAACACCGATGGATAACTCCGTTGTCCGCAGTCACTTTCGATGTATATGGCCACACCAATGAGCTTCCCATCGTACGTCAAAGGACTACCAGAATCACCGTAGCATAGATCTTTGCCCAGTCCACTAACGTACCCGGCACATATCTGGCCTTCGTATATACCCCCAAACTTCTGGTAAATAGTGTTGCAGGTCCTCTTGCCGATCAGGGGTACTTTCAGTAGCTGCAGCTGGTACGTCTCTGTGTCGTCTGAACCAGTAGGCGAGCTCCATCCCCAGCCGGAGACAAGAGCTACACTGTTCGGCTCGAAATCCTCGGGATACACTTTCCCATACAACTCGATCGGTTTACACAAGTCACTGTACACAAAGGGCGAATTCACGCGAACCAGCGCGATATCGAAATTTGTATTGTTGTACCGGTTGCGTCGGTAAGACAAGTGTGTTATTATTTCCACGATCTCATAGACGCTTCCGTTATAATATTTAGTCGATGTACCACATCTGATGGTGTAGTTCTTTGAAGTTTCATGCTTATTCTGATCTATGCATTGAGCTGCTGTGAGCACGTAGTGCTCGGAGACGATTGACCCGCCGCAAATATAGAAGCCCTCGTGTTCGATGCTTACTGCGTACGGACGATCTTTGATGTCTGCGTCTTCTCCGCCGACCACGCGTTTTTGTCGTAGCGGCACTGATGACGCTAGAAAAACAAAAAAAAATTGGACCTAAAGTTCATTGGATAATAATAACGTACAAGTGAGAAATCTTTTGATTGCATAAATAGAAATACATATTTTTAAGAATGTAATAAAAAATTAATTAATGACGTTAGTGATGGTTTACATTTAAACTTTGCTCGGTATTTACTGTGCACTGTTTGCTATGACTTGATTAATTAACTTGTTTAACAATTAAATGATGTCTAGAAAAATTTTTTTCCAACCCTCGATTAGTTTAATAATTATAAGAAAATTACCATTGGCTGTTAACACGGTACATGTCAGAAAAAACAACAGGAACATGTTGTGTGAATGATGTTTCAATACTTGATAGATCTCATCATCTGATCTTTGATTTACAACACTTGCTAGCTCTGCGCAGATTTATGACGCAGTTTAGCTATGACGTAATTAAGAACAATTCAGCGTGAGCTTAAAAAGAAAGATAATTTGACGTATTAGTACGGATGATAATTTTTCCTTCTTGCTATGTAGTTTTCTTATCAAAACATAACTTGATTACTTTCGTTATAATACTTCAGAACGAAATAATTAGAATTATAAGTATTTTTTTAGAATAATTTTAAATTAGATGAAAACCGTACACATATCGCGTCTACGAATGATTTAGTTGATTACGTAAATGTAAAACAAGTAGAAATTAATTAATACTTATAGTAATGTATGAAAAAGTGTTTAAACAATCTATTTTTAATAAGTTCCTCTATGTGTAATTGGAAGTGATGTTCTTTTATTCGTGTTTTTGAAGAAAAGCATTATTTTGTTTGTTCATCACGTGGATGAACGTGTATCTTCTACTTTCTTTAAACGATAAAACAAATTCCTGACCTTAGCGGTTATGCTGACTAACCTTTTTGCATGTTTCATTAAGATAAAATTGAGGATAAAATTATGACACAAAAATGAGATGAAGTACAGATTTACTTCTTGTCGGTTCAGAAACCAAATTATTTAATCGTTTTTTGACATCGGTATAATATTTTCCCCCGGCTTTTTGTCAAATTAATCAAATCAAACTAATACCCATACGTATATAACTCGGTCGTCGTAACGCACGAGGATGATGCGCGTTTGACACGAAAAGAAGTAACACGTATTCACAAAAGGAAACAATCAAGCCACAAAGTTTTTTTCATAAAGCTCACTCGAGCTAATTACAGCGCTACAATTGTATTACATTTCAGGGCGAATGCCTTCCAAGGCCGAAAAGCACAAGGGAAACGGACAGTAGCGCGCGCCCATGGAAATTTACTGCTCCGGTTGCTCGTCGTCATAGTCCCGGCTGGAAAACCACACGTCGCAATTACTCCTTTCATTTCGTGCCCTTTGACACCCTTGACACACGCTGAAATTCCGCAACCACCGGCGGAGCGCGGAGAGGCCGCAAAGAACCGGTGGGTCGCGTTAATGTAATTAAATGTAATGAGCGGCGTGCATCAGCTACGTGGCGAGCCACCGGAAATGAAACTCGCTCGGACGACTCTCGCGTAGGTGTGTGTGTGTGTCTTGTTATTATTATTACGTCCACATGAATATGCACACTTTGTCCAAAGGTATCGCCTCCTCATCCTCGACGATGTGCACCATGACACGCGTCCTTGCGCTCTTACACGCTCGGCCAGTGTGGGATAATTTTTTGCACAATCGGTTTGGCGAAATCGCGCCTGCGAGGACGTAAGAGGCGCGAATTGTCTTGTCGCCCCTTCTCCAGTTCCGCTTGTTATTTGTGCAATATGCTGCACGTACGTGTATTTAACATTAAGTTATATTGTGATCCGAGTCAAAAGATAATGAAACCTCTTTCTCTTTTGTCCTCAAATAATGACATTATCCCTTCTCCAGTGGCGTGAGAAATACCTTGGAAATATTAAATATTAGTATTATTGCACGTCGAGAGATCAACTGTTCGCTTGGTATAAACTTTTTATCAANATTAAGGTGTAAAAATAGTCATTTCTCTGCTATATATAATAAAAGATTTAGGAGTACTAAATAATTCTTAACATACAATTATACGCAGGTCTTACGCTATGGAATTCAAATCTTTTTTCAAAAGACTGAACGAAGAGAACACTCTTCAATAAAAAAATAATTATTATTATAGGTTGTAAGGTATTTAAATGCACTTGCAGTATCGTAGGTGTGATGGAATAACTGCATTTTTCTAAGTATTTTTTTCTTAAAAATAACTTTAACGAACTTAACAACGTTTTGAACTCCCCAATAAATTTTTTTACAGTATTCAACATTATTTTGATAAACACTTAATATTCTGGTGATCAGAGTATGAGTTATGCCTTATATGTAGAAGTGTAGTTTTTTTTTGTAAAGTTAGCCAGTACTTCAAATCTGCATGAAAATGTTTGCAAATCATTTTTTTTACCCGTACAGCCAATATTTTTGAAGAATGTTTTTTATGTGCCTCTTTTTTTGACACATACATTGAAAAATAATGTGTACTTTTTTTTCTTTTCTTTTAGGTAAGTTCCAAATCACATTACACAAAACTACACTTTCATCGACTGCCTCGTAAGTACAATATTCATTAAAAACTACTACTATTTTGGTACAAATGATACGATTAATAAAATAAAAATATTAACTTTAGTTTAAACTAATTTTACCAAGTAACTTTGCGCGTCAGATAAGGTATTTTGTTACTTTATTAATATCACAGAAAATTCAAGTTTCGTAATTTCAAAATAATAAAAAATATTTTATGAAATCTGTAGAAATTAATAAACATAAAGTATTCATTTACAACCATCTATACAATAAACACGCAAAAGACCACATTATTAAATATCTAGCTTGATTTACGGTATTCTCCTTTACTGAACTTATTCTGAACTACTTGTATTCGCTCCGTGCATAACCTGCAAAAATTGGAACTTCGACACTCAATTCGCATTTAAAACATGTGTATTAGTCGACACTAGCGTCAAACTTATAGATCAGATTGGGTGTCAAAATTTTAAATACGAAATAAGTTTAGAAGCTTCAATTTTTGCCGTTTGTGCACAGAGCGAATCCTGTCATTAATAATTACATTTAGGTACATGTTCCCTCTTTAAAATACACAACGTGTGAAGAAGATACATTGTAATGAAACAACTGTAAAGCAAAATCAGTTAACAAAATTGTTGAAATTTAGTGTTTATCACAAACTGCATTTATTTTTATTCTTCTCATTTTACCACAAACTTTCATTAAGTAGAGACGCAATCTATTCAACACTTGATGTGATTCAAGAAAAATTATATTCCTATAGGCAATCGTACTTCTGATTGCGCTTAACTTCACCAGAAAAAAAAATTTAGAACATTTCCACAACCTCGGTCACTCAATTGGACCCCCCTCCCCCAGCGAGCTAAATAGAGACCCCATAAAAAAATAGGGCCTTGAAAAATTAACGCCCGGTCCTTCGGGAGTCCCGAATGGCTCTTACGAGCTTGCGATTACCCGACAGCTCTCTCAATAATTCACCCCCATTCTCCCCGTGAAATTCGCGCCCGCGTTGTGTATTATTTAGTCGCTCGCGCGTGTCTTTTTTCTTCTCCCTACTCTTTCTGTTCTTTAATAAGCCGCGTAATTTTCGCGCCGCAGTCTCTTATATGCACCAGGGGGATGAAAATTTTCAAGCACACTTCGAGGCGATAAAATGGAGGGGGCGCCGCAGAGTTTATTAATTAACAGTCGTAGCCGAGTCGCCGGGGCTTTTCCTGTAGACGAGAGGAGAAGCGCCTGCATATTTCATCTGCGAGGCGAGGAGTAATCGCTGCTTAGCCTCGCTTGATCACTCATTTAATCGGGAAGTGGGTGTAGGTGCAGTGGCTGCTGGATGTGGTTGATGGCTTATTGGGTGTATGTTTTTTTTTTTTTTTNTCAAAAATATCGTCTTAGCCCCAGGGTCTCTGAAGATAAAATTATAAGGAAATTTTTTTCAGTCTTCAAAAAACTTTAAGAGATTTCCAAGTCATTAAAAGTCTTAAATGATATTGAAACTTTTAATACACTTTCATAAAATTTTTTGTCAACATTTAAAAGGTTTTACGCGATTTTAAATAGCTGTGAAAGTCTTACGATTTGAATAGTACTTAAAAAACGCCAAACACATCCTCAACGAATTACATGATTAGTGGTTTAGCCAACAGCTAACACAGTATCGACTTCTCTTTTGGATTATCAGCTCGTCAAGACGAAAAAAAATTTTACCAATAGTAAATTAAACAATATTCATCCAAAAATCATGGAAAATATCAGAGAAGCGTAAAATTTGAGCTTGTCCTAGAAAATCATTAGGATTAGAAAATAGAGAAGTGCAAGAAGTAGGAACGGCTATGTCTACACACGCAAACGGGCTCGTTCGCTCGACTAACCGATCCTCTTCAGCCCCAACGATATCACAAGTGTATACTAGCAACAGGCCACCGATACCCACGCTCATTCGCAGTGTTAATTGCGCGTGAGCTGCTGTGCGAGGCCAAAGGGTTTAATGAAGCTCTCTTTCTCTCCACGCGAGCACACAGAGAAGGAAATAACAGCTGGTGCGTGTGTGTATACGTATGTACTCCGCCGCGGTCGCCGCAAAGAGAATCGCTTGGATGTACACCGAAGCATGGAGAGTAAAGGGTAGAGAGGCGCAGTGTGTAGTGGTATACGTATGATGCACTGCTTTCGGCGTGCTCGGTATTAGAATGTCTTTTGTGGGTATTTCACGAGTTGATTCACTTGTGGGTTTGGTAGTGATTTTTTTTTTTTTTTTTTTTTTTTTTTTTTTTTTTTTTTTTTTTTTTTTTTTTTTTTTTTTCTTTTTTTTTTAGCATTTTAGATATTTATTGATAGTTCTTCGATTGGTAATGGTGATGGACGAATAGATCGTTTGTATAAGTTGAGCTTGATCCGTGTTTTGTGATGATTTTTCGAATGAATTTTGACGCTGAGAATACATACGAGTGTTAAAGGATAGAATTAAAAACCCCAAATCTCATAGGTAATTGAGTCTATGGTCTCAAATAAGGACGTGGTTTAAAAAAAATATTTCCTTGATTCACTCTCAAATCATACTTTTTCATGTCACTAAAGTCATACACACACCAGCCGCTCCTATTACAATTCCTACATTAGTCTTACTACATGATTCTTGCTAAACATATGTAACTCTCGATGGATAAAAATGTGGAATGATTTGATCGAGCTTATGGAAAAAGGTTCAGAGTAAGTAGGTTTCATTAAAAAAAAATTATATTAATTTTTATAGAGGTTGAAAAACATCCAAAGTAATGAAGCTTCAATCC